CTGCTGTGCTGCCCAGAGGTGGAGGAGGGAGATGGAAGCGCTCCCTTGGCTGCCTGGCTAAGCGGTGGCTTGGAGGCTTGGGTCATGGCTCTCTGCCTGATCCTGGGTACCTGGCATCTTTCTTCTTCCCCCGAGGAGGAGGGGTTTCTCCTCAGGTGTATTGCTTTGAGCTGGGGGAGGAGTGATAAGGTGCCTCTCTCTGTTTTCTGCAGAGCATGTTTTCTTGCTGTTACGTGAAACGGGCTCTGGGGTCTCTCACCTGGTTTCGTTAGCTCTTGTGAACATGGCTTAGTCTGTAAATGTCCGAGTGTGGGTTTCTGTGGGGGAAATGACCACTGGAGGTCTGACCTGGCCATCTGCTTGCAGTACCCTCAGTAGTTATTTTTGGGTGGATAGTAAGTTATGTTGCTGAGAGTCTAGATGCTGGGAGGACTTTTTCTTTTTTCTTAGTGAGTTGCTGGGCTTTTCTTAAGCTCTGTTGGCCCCCTCTTCATTTCTGGGTCAGTGTGTCTTCCCTTAGGTAAGGTCTGTACCTGCAGTAGTTTACGTTGCGTAGTTCAGTGGTCACATCGCCTTTCCAGAGGTCAGATATTTCTCTGCCTTTGTGAGGCTCTTTGGCGTGTTTACGGCCTGTGTGTGTCAGCCACTCTCTCTTCCTTTGTTTTGCCCGTCCACGAGCACTCTCACTTCCCCCGTGACTAGTCCGGTACTCAGCAGACACTGGAGAAGCTGATGCACAGTCCTCCCTAAGTTCTGCATTGCTGCCTTTTTAACTGAACTTGGTTAGAGAACGTGAAGCTGCCCGAGCTTTCCTGAATGACCGTCTCTTCCTCCCCAAGTCAGGAAGGCTGCTGGGCTCTGAGTTTTCTGATTGTGTCCATAATGTGGAAATTGCCTTTGGGTGGGGAACCCAGAAGGTTATTAGTCTTGCCTTGTGGGTTTTTTTTTTTTTTGGTCCCCCAGTGATATTTAGTATTTGAAAATAGTGATTTTTCTACTGTAGCCAATATTCTCCTTGTTTTCTAAGTGAAATGACTTGTCTGTTGCTTGTTATGCCTTCATGGCTAGCAGCCATAAATACTGATCGCACTCCTGGATTGTTGCTCTCCTTGGAAGCTGTCTGGCTATCATTTTAATGCTAGCACAGCTTTTTAAGAAAGATTTATTTATTTTTATTGGAAAATCAGACATACAGAGAGAAGGAGAGACAGAGAGGAAGATCTTTTATCCACTGATTCGCTGCCCAAGTGGCCACAACAGCTTGGTACTGTGCCTATATAAAGCCAGGAGCCCAGAGCTATTCCGGGTCTCCCACTTGGGTGCAGGGTCCCAAGGCTTTGGACCTTTCTTGACTGCTTTCCCAGGCCACAAGCAGGGAGCTGGATGGCAAAAAAGACCTCCAAGACATGAACCGATGCTCATATATAGGATCGCAGCACGTGCAAGATGAGGACTTTGGCTACTAGGCTATTGTGTCGGGCACACTAGCACAGGTTTTGTCAGTGATGTTTTACCTGTGGTTTAAAAAGAAAGTAACATTTTTCTGTGTTGAAAGCATTTGTTTCACATTATATTATACTGTGGAATTTTTTAGGTTCTTATAGGTGGGTATGATGTAGTTAGAAGACTCACTTGCCAGAATTCCAAAGACCATCGTTGTGTAAGAGTTCCATGGCCAAGAAGCCCGGGCATTGTCTATGCGTGGAACATCCCTCTTCCCCCGACAACATCCTGCTGTGCCTGTTACTCCCACCTCGGCTGTCCATTTAGTAGGATTGCTTACACTTTCTTGCTGCATTCTGTCTCCTTTTTTCTCCCTCTGCTTTTATTTCTGTTACTTTATTTCTGCTCACGCCTCTGTTAGTAACGAGGCCTATGTGAGGGTGAAGGCAGTGTGCAAGGCAGTGTACGCACACGGGAAGGCAGCTCAGTCATCTGCCTCTTCAGAATGTTCGGAGATTATCACAAGGCAACATTTCAGATTTACATGGCCAGGGAAAATGTAATTTTTTTTTCTTTGGGTGCCTGCTTGCACAGGTAATTTGGCTGTCATTCTTTAACTTGTCATGGATATTGAAATGTAGGAGAACTCTGAATGCTTTTATTAATATGTTGTTGTAGTTGAAATATGAATATGCCAGAGAAAGGACAGTGAAGAAATAAGGTGACATTTTTTTTTCTGTTGCCAGGAATCTCTGGGTTTTGTGCTAATTAGCCTTGAAAAATGTGGAGCTATTTGACAAACCAGATGTTTTCAGCATGAGCTGTGTGTCTCATCAGTGAGTGGGCCTTGTGTCTGCAGGCAGCGTTGTTGGATTTTTCTCATTCTATAAACAATGTTCCAAAATATAACTAAACCCCAAAGTATGTTTATCTTTTTGGCTTAATTTCTGGCTTTTCTATCCATTCTAAAGTTTCTCTCTAGAGGAATTGTTTTATTACACATAGCTCTTCCTACCTAATTGTACTATAAACACCATTCTGTTTATACTAAGCCAAGTGAATTGTTCTGTTTTTGAGTCTGTAACATTTTAATAAAAGCAACTATTTCAGATTTAATTATATTTCTATATATATATTTCTGAATTTAGGGGGAGTAAATCTTTTTCTCATTTGTTTGGACTAAAATTTTGATCTTTGGAGCACATGAGAGAGACGACGAAAAGAAGTGAAAGCAGTGTCTCTTCACTGTCTGCTGTTCTGAGTGCAAGAAGAGCGTAGGTGTCTGCTAGGATGCTTGTTCTGTAAGACCCAAGTACAGTTGTATGCCTTGTTATTCTATAGAGATGAACTGAGCTTTCTAAGGAATATATCATCAGAAGTATAGAAGAAATTAAAAGTGTAAAAAAGAAAATGTTCATTTAGAGTATTGCTGTTCAAAGAAAAAACCCCTGATTTGCTAACCTTGGTTTTGTATACTTTTTGCCGGTCATTTTTCTCTGCAGGTTGGTGTGTGTTTACTCAGTGATGTACTTCATATGGGCATACGTATTCATAATTTGCACATGTCTACATGTTGTAGTTTTTGAAGGATGTTATGATCATGCTTGTACAATGTATTTGTTTTTAACTCTGGTACCAATCCTTGGAGATGCTGTCATCGCCGTTTGGAGAAGGAGTGGATTAAACAAGCTCCCATTCCCTGTCTCCGTAATCCATGTAGCATTTTGTCCTTTGCTAGAGTGTGTGTCAGGCTCGGCTAGTAGGAGCACACACTGCGCCTGCTTAACCTGAAGGGTGAAGAATGATAAATCTGCCCTTTGAAAGGATTTGCACTCAATGCTCTTGTAAACATTTTGCTATTTCATTGGTCTTTTACTTTCTGGATAAATTGTAATATCTGTAACCATTTCCTTGTTGATAGATTTGTCAGTTTTAAAAAATTTGCTCAAATAAAAACTCGCCTCTGCAAAAGAGGCTTATAAATTTCTTGTAAAACTGATTTTCTTTGGAAATGCAGTTTTTAGGGGATGATTGTTTTTGCTGAAATTTTTCACCGCAGATTTGTATCATTAATTATATTTTTTGGCCAATATTTTGTGAATTCTTATTTTTAAAACTTTAATAGTAGTACACATCATCTTTTAAGAAATATTTGGCTGTCGGAGTGACAAAATTATGTCTATCTTTTTATGTAAAACTATTCATATTCATGGAGTTCCATGTAATTTTGCAGTTCGTATGTACATGTGGTAAGCTATCCAATGATAATAAATTGATCTGTCTCCTCAAACATTGAACATTTATTTATGATAAAAGCATCTGAATTCTTTCAGTTTTTTTTTTTTTTAATGTAAGGAAAATTACAATGTATTAACGTTATTTTCCCTTGCAGCCTTTTTAGGCGTTTCCTTGAGGCCATATGGCGTGTGGTAGCTTCTGGTCAGCCAGAGGTGTATGAGTGCGCTTTGCCCTTTAGGGGTCCCCTTGTAGGAAGTTAGGGATGTGCAGAGAGTTTGTTAAGCTCTTCTCTGTTGTCTTCTTTCTGTGATCTTACTGTGAAATTTATCTTTTTTTTTTTTTTTTTTGATGATACAGTTCCCCTTCCACCTGCCTAGTCACCCTTCCTCCCCACTGTTTTCTGTTTTGTTTTATTTTGTTTTTCTGATCAGTTGTAGGTAGTGACCAAGGGCAGAGCATTAAGGGGTGATTGATGGGAGTAGCCTCGTTCAATAATGTTACAGAGCCTCACAGTTGAGCTGTTGTCTTTCCCCCTCCTCCCCCTTTGGTCAATTTCCAGAGCCCTGAAATGGCTGTTTTAGGCAGATTGAGTCTTGGCAAGTATTCTTTTTTGGGTAGAAGATATGTCAGGCTCTTTTATTTGCCATTGTAGAAATCTAGCCTTGAGGGCCTGGTATGATAACCTAGTGACTAAATCCTCACCTTGCATCTGCCGGGATCCCATATGGGGCAAGTTCTTGTCCCAGCTGCTCCACTCCCCACCCAGATCCCTGCCTGTAGCCTGGGAAGGCAACAAAGGGTGGCCCAAAGCCTTGGGATCCTGCATCCATGTGTGAGACTCACAGGAAGCTCCTGGCTCCTGACTTTGGATTAGCTCAACTCTGGCTATTGCAGCTGCTTGGAGAGTGAGCCAGTGGATGGAAGATCTTTTACTTTCTCCTTCTGTGTAAAATGTGCCTTTGCAATAAAAATAAAGCTTAAAAAAAAAGAAATCTAACCATGGACTAGTTTTTTAATATGACAAGAACTTCTTTAATTTTATTTTCTTTGCAATTAATTTCACTGATATTCAAAGTTTTATGTATTCTTTGGATAAAATTCATTTTTATTTTAATTTTAATAGATTATAGTTTTTCTTAGAGCTTATATTACTTTTTAATTATTTGGTTTTTTTAATTAAAATTTTTCATTAATTCTTGGTTTGTCCTAAGGCATAGTAGAACTAATTTTGACTAGACATTTTTGCTTGAGATATTAATATTACCTCCAAAAGTCTTGAGGTGAACTTGAGGTGAATATGTGATCAATCCGTTTTGTAGGCATTATCCTGCACTTAAAACCCTGGAGCATCTGGAACATACCTATCTGCCTCAAGTAAGCCACTATCGATTCTGCAAAGTGATGGTGGACAATATCCCCAAGCTGCGAGAAGAAATCAAGGATGTTTCCATGTCTGATCTCAAAGATTTTCTGGAGAGCATCCGTAAACATTCAGACAAGATTGGAGAGACAGCCATGAAGCAGGTAGGTCCCCAGGCTGTGACAGACCTGCACATGCTTTTGCAGGTTCTCAGTTACACAGGTTCTCAGAACACATGGTATTCTCTTTGCTAAGTGTCTTCATTTTTTTTGTTTGTTTTTGACATTTTATGGAAGTCCTTCAAGTTTACGGATACATGCTTAAAAAATTTTATTGCATTAACAGTAATAAACTGTTGACTAGTATATTGCTTTGCTCTGTGGATGTTTAGTTAAGTAGTGATGAAGTTTGATTTTAAGATTTTGTGTGTGTGTGTGTGTCCCTATGCTATTACATGATTTTGAAGGCCACAGAAATTTTGGTCTTCCACATCTATTAAATGACTTAAGATGTGTTGCGTATGTCTTTGATTGTTCATAATGTAGGCAAGATGGTTTATTACTTATAGATATTTCTGATATTAGCATGTGTCAGTCCAAAATGGTAGTAGTAGGTACTGTGAATTATGATCACCTAGAGTGATCATATAGTTTACAAAGCAGTAATGCTTTCTATTTTGGAATTTTAAAAGTTTATTTTAATTTTATTGGAAAGAGAATCAAAGGAACAAAAAATATAGTCATCTTCCATCTGCTGTTTCACCTCCCAAATGCCTGTGCTAACCATGACTGAGTTATTCTGGAGCCAGCAGTCAGGAGAGGCCCACGTTGCAGAGGCCCACGTACTTGGGCCATTACCTGCTGCTTCTTAGAGTGAGCGTTAGCAGGAAACAATCAGAAGTGGAGAAACTGTGATAAAAGCCATTGAGCACCTGTCGGGAACACTGGTGACTTAACTGCTCTCTGTTTGCTCCTCCTGAAATCTAAGTTACATTGATTTTTTTAAAATTCTCAATATACTTGGTAATGTAACCTGCAATAGTGAATAGAAAATTCAGTTGTTCATCATAAGCAAAAGCGTTGTAGGGTAGATCATTATAACCAGTGATAGCTCTTATCATTCTGTGGAAAGTGAGGAAGTAGATTATATTTTGAATAATATTTTAGGGACTCAATTAACCTTTTTAATTTTAGTTCAGATATCCCTTTGATCTTGTAAGGAGATTCATCAGTTATTCCTTTCCAAGGGAGTATCACCTCTGCCTTGGAAATTTTGTCAGTGTTATAATTTACAAAGCACAGAGTTTAAAACTAATTGATCTGAAAGATTCTTATTGTGTCATTTTAAAATATGGTAAGGAAACAAAATGAGCTATTAAAACATATATTTGAAATGGTGAATATATATGCTTGCAATGAAGGAATCTCAACTGAACTTGAACTGTGGTTATGCAGCAAGGTGGAGGAATCCACCATGGGGGAGGGTTGTGGGAGAGGTGAGGGGAATCCCAGTGCCTATAAAACTGTATCACAGAATACAATGTTATTAACAATAAAAAAAGAAATAAAATGCATTATATAATACTTAAAAAAAAGAAATGGTGAATAGAGATTGTGAGTATACACATGAAGGGATTTTGCAAGACAAATCTTTATTATGGCTGATTAATTTCAACAAAACTTTAAGAATACCAACGAGTGTAATATAAAATTCTATGGACGCTACCTTTTAAAGGTGCCTTTTTCTAAATCTCAGGTAGTGGAAAGTCCTTCTGACTGGTAGTAAGTGAACTTTCTTTGCTAAGATATTGATTCTCTGGAAGGAGAGCCAGGGACTCAATCCAGATCTCCCAAGGAATGACTAACACAGGATGCAGCTTTCTCAAGAAGTCTTAACCACTGGACCAAATACTTGCTCCAGACGTGGGAATCCTAGCTGCTAGACTAAATATCTGCCTCTAAAAACATTTCTAACTTGCTTCTTCAAAATCATATTGAGAAAACTGACAGTTTTATTTATTATCGATATTTGGTTAGGACTCTTAGAAATTATGTAAATTCATGCTGCTGCTTCTTGGTGAGGAGCCTTTTGTTTCCCTTCTTAAATATACTATGAATCCCCAGTTGCTGCTTTCATCCATACATGACCTGCATCCATGGTGGTGTGCATTCCAGGAGCCAAAGCAAATCAGCAGAAGGGCTCTACTTGGTAGTCTTTCTTTCAGTATGTCTTGGAAGCTGTAGAAAGAAAAATGGGCAAGTGGAAAGACCAGAATAGAGAAGGTGAAAGATTTAGCATAATCTTAGGAGGATCTTTAAAATTGTCCAATTTCCTGTATATTTTAAGTGAAAAAATATTTTTATTTTTTTTTAAAAACTCATGTTCTCATTGAATTTTTGTTGTCTGCAACATAATATTGGATTGAAAGAACTTAATGGACTTACATTCAGGCTTTGCCATAATAAACAGAACCCTGTTTAAAGCAGGTAAAAATCCTCCATTTGATCGTCGTGCTGTTTGATACGTCAGTCGTCCGGTGTGGTTCCAAAATGCTATATATTTCATTTTGTAGTTACCAATCACTGTAGATTGAAGAACATTCTAAAAAAGTGTATTTGAAGGCTTTTTGTGACTTTTTTGTTTGTTTTGACTTTTGCTAATTGCTTTTTTTTAAAAAATTTCATTTTAAACAGATTTCTGCCATTTATTTGTTGTGGAAATGGTTTGTGCAGGAGGGAACTTCTTTATTTCTAATATTCCTTATTTTGCTGTGGGCTTTTTGGGACTACAAACCAGTTGCTATGTGTTTTCTGTGTGATTCCCTTTAACAAAGGGCGAAACTTATTTGCTTTTAAATTTAGAGCTTGCGTTTGGCAAGCAATATGGATTAAATAACTGCTTTAAGGAAAGGAACTGGCTGTATGCAAGAGCAGTGTCACTCTTCTTTAGTAACCGATTTTAAATCAATTGATATTCAAATAAACATATTTATCATCATGATTCTTTTAAAGCTGAACTTTCTTTGGTCTTGGCTAGAGCAAAATATACTTACATTGATTTGGTAGAACATCGTTGACTCAGATCCGACCTGGTACTTCCAATTGAGTTCACACAGGGGCGTAGTGGCTTCTCTGTCAAAGAGAATTGCTGTTGAAACCTCTCCTGTGGTGGATACTATGCAAAGCATCCACAGAATGTGGCCTTTGGAGTCTAAGCAGTTGGTCTGGTATTCCTGGAAATCCTTTTGTCTTTTCCTCTGGATTTTGGTACATAAATGTACTCTTTTGATCCTTGGTCATTGGTATATACGGATGGGGTAGGGTGAAATGGGAGAGCATGAAGGCTTTTAATAGAGTATTGATGTAGTCAAGAATCAGAATAGCTGATAGTCAATAATAAAATTTTAGGAAAGAATCCAAAAAAAAAAGTAGGGATTTAGTATTAGTTTATTTTTAGGTAATATGTGGGTTAGTTAACAAAATAGACTTTGGAGTGTGTATTAAATTTCTGCTTAGCCATGTGCTGTGTAACAGTGAGTAAATTTCCAGACATAATAACATTGTCAATGCATCAACTCTGAAAATTTTTCAGTTTTTATAAAGGCTTACATACTTTTATTCAACAGGCAGATTTTTTTCTTTTCTTTTTTTAAGAGAGAAAGAAGGAGAGAGAGAAAAGGCCTTTAATCCACTGGGTTACTCCTCAAGTGGCTGCAATGGCTGGAGCTGAGCTGATCCAAAGCTAGGAGCCAGGAGTTTCTTCTGGGTCTCCCGTGTGATTCCTCAGTTCCAAGGACTTAGCTTGTCCTTCATTGCTTTCTCAGGCCACAAGCAGAGGGCTGGATCGTAAGTTTCCTTACTAGGCCCATTCCTAGCCCTGATCTCAAGCATGCTGTTATGTGCTACAACCCTGCTTGCCATGGTTTGCCCTCTGTCCAGGCCTTTGCATGTGCCGGTGGATGCTGCAGCCTGGCCACACCTGGCTTCCAGCTAGCCACAGCTCTCACAAATGTCAGGTGAGCACCATGGTCTAGCCTGGCTCCACCTTTCATCACTCTTAACTTTATGTGCAAACCGACAGGTGCGGCAGCCCCATAGAGGTGACCTCACATGTCCCCTATGGAATTTGCCCCCAGATCTGGTTCTCTCGTGCATTTTGGTGGATACTGTGGCCCAGCCTGGTGTGGCCTATCCCCTCCTTCAACACTTGTGAGTAGGCATTGCAGCCCAGCCCAGCCCAGCCATGCATGTCCCCTATCCCCAGTTTTGCATTTACCAATGGGTACTGGGTGATACTGTTTAGCCAGCCTAAGCCTCCCATGTGGGGCAGGTACCTTATTCTGACCCAGACATATCCTCATGTTTCCTGTATCTAAACCACCTAGCTCCTTCACCCACCTGTGTGTGCAGTGGCTCAGTCCATGAAAGACCCTAGCAATCAGTCTTCCAAAATCCAATATACCCTTAACTACTCCCATTCCAACACAGTCTCAGACTCTTCTCCCTGGGCAGTTTGCAGACCCTCCTTCCCCACCTGGGGGCCTGGTGGCATGTCCTGGCATGGCGTTCTTGCCTTCCCTACATACCTTTAAAAATATTAGAATAGGCAACTGAGTGGGCACACTGGTATGTTAGCACAAAATTGGCAAATTCAGAGATGCAAAGTAGGGTGATGTTTTCTGGGGGATGGTGAGTGTAGTTTACTGTTTGGTAGTTACAGAATTTTACCTAGAGATGAAACAGTTATAGAGATGTATGATGGTAATAATAGTTGTACAACAATGTGAATGTGCTTAATGCCACAGAAACATACACTTAATGACGCAAGTGATAAATCTAATGTCTTGCATTTTGCAACAGTAATAAAAGTACAAAGACAAGCAGCAACACATAACATTTTGTAGGGAGATAGGTAAACATCAAAAGAATGACTGGCTCTGGTGAATAGGTTTTGAGGTGAAAGGTGATGGAAGAAATTATTTCTCATAGTAAAACATGATAAAACATGTTGGAGTATAGGTAACTGCACTATGCATAGCTTTGCATCTATAATTTAGATAAAACATTTCAAACAGCTTTATTTGGAATATTTTGTTGATGGATTGTCCATGAAGCAGGAAAAATTCAACCCTCATGGTGCAAAGGAAAATTTCCCTTTACTTAAG